CACTGTCGTCATCATCCCCCCCGCCCACCCCCCCACCCCCCCTCGCAGCAAGTCCAAAATCAAGAGGCCGAGTTAGCAAACTCGGCAAGTGGATTTTGAGGCTTCTTATGATGATCGTACATGACGAAAGTGCTGTAAAAACCGAGTAAAACGGATGTGCTCTTAAGATGGTTTTAAGCAAATGTAGTTGGTAGGGGGGGGCGCCTACTACTACTACTACTACTACTACTACTACTACTGCTACTGCTACTAGACTACTACTTCTACGATAACAGTGATAGTGATAGTATCAATTTGTAATAAGGATATGGACCTTGACAACTTGACAATGCTAATGACTCACTAATGACAATAACAAGCATGACAATGATAATAGCAATAAACAACAAATAGTCATCAGAACAATAGCAACAATAATTTAATCCTAGTTTTTGTGTTAGGACTGCTTTTGCTTACATGTTGACCATCCATGTGGGGCTATGTTGCGGTATCCATATAATTCTAATCTACCCACCATGCACCATGCTATGTACATTCACAATCGTTTCTTTCAATATGTGTGGGTTCCTCTTACCTGTCACAGTTTAAGATCCAGGACCAACCATGGGCGATCATCATCTTCGGTGGTCACTGGGAAGCACCGTTAACTGAGGGAACATATTGATTCATGAGGCGCTTCGGCAATCCAAGAGGCCAGACCAAGTCGGTCTTAGTCGGGATCTCGGTTTCCTAAACGGACAGTCTCATTTCCAAAAGTCTGGAATGTAGAAGAAAACCAACTCGAGCGCTGGGCCCCGACGACCGGTGTCTTGGGATGGCGAGCACTGAAATGCCTCTAAAAGTTCGAGCTTCCCAACACACAAGGCACCGCTGGATTCGACTCATTCGATCAAGCGCGTGAAAAGTCACGGTTTTTTTCCCGAACATTGCGAGATTCTTGGCGAGGCTCCTTGCTCACAGTCCAGCTCGGTTTTGCGAATCTCGTCCTCGCAGTGATCGTGGAGCGTGCGCGGCAGGCGTGGTGATTGTTCTGCAGCTTTAGGAGACATCATGGTTCGAGGATGAAGCAACATGAAGCACCAACACCCAGTCAGAACTCTAGGGACCTTCGGGTAGCTGCACGACATAGACCCGAAAATGCAGTTCTTTGTTTTGGTCGTAGTGCAGGACAAGCATGGCTGCATTGGCCTGCAGCAAGCTTGCCCTACTTCGCTGTTTGACAGTCTTGCCTCTCCTGACTGCGTCTCCGGTCTTTGTGACTGCGACCTTTCGCTGCAAGATCCGAGCTCCTTCGAGATGCGCCAGCTGTGCAAGTAGCCATCAGGGCCGATCCCGAAGAACCGCAAAAGACTGGGTCGTTGTGAGTGTCTTTGACGCCTCGGAGGCCCACGAGGAGGAGCAGCGCCAGAACCTGAACGAACAGCCCGGATCTCAGAGCACAGTCCTTTCAGGGTGCAGCACTTTGTTGGTAAAGCGTGCTTCCACCGCTCGACCTGGGGCCAAGGGTGAAGAAGCGTCGAGATGCAGAGAAGCGACTCCTGGACATGTGCAAGGCCATTGATGTGGATCAAGACGGAAGCTCTGCCCCGCATTTATGCCGGAGACGTAGACTCCAAGGGATGCTAAGGGTAGTATAGGGGCTAGTAGCTGCCATTATTATCACAGCCATGGTCCCCCTGCTCATCTCATCTCTAGCGCCACCATCATCACCATTAGTTTCATCGATCGACTGTGCTTGCATGGGGGTCGTCATATCCGGGGCTCCAGTCCATGCATGTTACCCGACTCTTACCCTTACCCAGACAGCAGACATGTGTTTCAGAATCTCAGAAGCCGACTCGTCGCCCAGTGGCCTGATCTTCGCTGTGAACCTGAGCCGCGTGAGTCGAGACCCTGGACCCCCAAATCCTCAAACACCACTCTCCGCACATCGAACCCCAAATCCCGAGCCAGACCTTCCGAAGTCCCCGAATCCCCAAGCCACCCTGGAGCAGACACAGGAATCCTGACCCTCGAAGAGCTCATGGATGCGTATGTCGAGAATGAGGAGAAGAAGCCCTGGGCCCTGGGGCGGTAGCGAAGGTAAAACATCAAGAGTAGTAGCAGCTGTACAAGGATCGAAGAAGGGAGCGGTGCTCAGGAAGCATGGTGGCATGAACAGTTGTACGAGTAGGAGCTGACTTACGGGCAATGTCGTCAACAAGCTAACATAACATAACCCAAATCCAAAATCTGACTACGAGCATCGTTCTCGGTACCAAGGACCTGGGCCTGTCACATCGTTCATGTTTCTTTCGGGGTTGCGAGCATGATCGAGGACTTCCGGAAGACGCTGACGCTTTTGGAGATCGACGAGACTGACCTCCTTTGCTTATTCGATTCTCTTTCCGCCATCAGAAGGGTGCTCTTTTGCCGGACCCCAGTTAGACTCTCAGAATCCGCTATTCCCGCAGGTAGTTGGGCTGTTGTTGCTAGACCCTGATGGAATTTTGGCTTGACACAACCTGTCCCGCTACAGTACACTCTCCGACTGTACCAGTCTGCTCCAGGACCATGGTTTCAGCTACCTAGGGTCTTGGTATGGCCGTCAAACGGACGAGTTGAGGGGAGTGGCACCGAATGGAAATGGCATTGTACTTGGTTGTAGTGCCACTGTTATATTTTGCAATGCCTCGGCGTTCCACCAATTCGTGCCACATGATCTGATATTGCTTTGTCATTGAGTCACCTGGCAGATGGTCTAACGCACCGCTCAGCTGAGGACTTGATGGACGCAGATAGATCCGGTGATCTGACCTACGAGGACGGTGTACACAAACAAGTCGCGCTATTGGGCTCTAAATAGCGAAATACGAGTGTGCTGTTAATGCGCGATGAGGCGTGTCGTCTGAGCTGGCAGCTCATGAAACAACAAGCTTCGAGTGTCCACCGCTGAAGTCCAGAGCCCAATGCCACAGGGCAGTGAGCCCGCTTGGGAGGAGATGATCAGCTGCATCCACAAGTCGGAGACGAACGACCTGAAGCGTCAGATGATGATGGTAAAGCTTCAGGCCAGGTTTCGCGTTCTGACGTCGTCCAAGCCGAGCCTCAGACGCTCCTCACGAGGTGCAGGACATCTGGCTCCGAATTCGAGACACCTTCCTAACGCAGCAGGAGGACATCATCCGTGAATTCAAGGGGGAGGCCGGATTTCCGACAAATCGAACTCCGGCCCTTGAGGGTTCTTCTAGGATTCGAAGGTCCATAAGTTGCAAAAGTTAAGGACATCACAGGTTTACACGTATGAAGTCCCTTGGCAAGGCGCCACATGTGCTCAGCTTTCGAAGTGACAGACTTCTCACAGTTTGTTGACTCGCAACCTCTTCATGTGGAATCACGTTTGCAAACTCCAAGAAAAACCCTCTACTACCGAAGACTACGCGAATCTAAGCTTCGAAGACGAGATCCGAGGCCTGAGATCTCCAGTTCCGGGTTTTGTCTAAACCCCGGAAGCCAAGAGCGCGACGAACCCAGGGAGAAAACCCTAGATGCGATAATCCCACTCGCATTCGCTGAAGCCAAAAGAACCATTGCAAGCATGTTAGCAATATTTGCTGTGTTCCAGATTGGAGTATAAAGAGGAAGACAGACCGATAGATACCATGCTTTGGGTGACCGTCTAGGGACTATAGGGCCCCAGCACAACATGCTGCCAAACTCCCAACGTGATAGATGCCCAGTGCATTGGACGAGTCAAATTCGAAAGAAGCCTCCAAGCCCAAAACATGCAACAGATGCAAATCATCATTCAACAGCAGAAGGGTTCCATAATCGTAAACGCGTCTTCCACCTCGGCCCGGCCGCAAAAAACGAGGGCCGGCGACTTGCTCAGCTGTTTCTTTAGGGCCTTTAGGGCGTCATTGGCGGAGCTGAGCAGGAGAGGGGAGAAGGAAGGGGGGCGAGGGTAAGAGGAGGGGAAACAATGAACGTCTGACTGCTTCAACCGGGGCCGAGGCGAATAGGGGTATACCTTAGGGTGCACTGATTCCCAGATGACGAAGCCTTCGCTCTTCGACTCCCGAACGTACCTGATCAGAAAGCTGACGGGCGAAAATGCCACGAGGCCTCTGAGAACTGTGGGTTTTTGGGTTTTGTAGGCTTTTTGGCTAGGCTTTGGAGACGCCTGAGGGGTCCTGAGGCTGAGGGACTTGGGACTGGTTGGATTCAGGGCAAGCCTCATGTTGCAGCTCAAGTCAACAGTGCACAATCGAAGACAAGTGCGGAGGCTACAAACAGAATTATGTCGAAACCCTGACAAAGATCAATGAAGACTCCTTCAAAAGATCCTGAGCTCCGTCCCTGCTCCGACTGCAGTTTAATGCGACGGACCCGCACGATGCAGTCGCGCATCAGTGAGGCCTACGAACGGGCTCAGGCGCACTTGCGGGTTTTTGCGGAAGTCAAAATGTTTGCAGTTCGGATTCGGTTCGGGCCATCAGGGCGTTTCTGCCCTGGAGCACTGGTTCGCAGTCTAGCTGTCGCTGCCATTCCATGTCATCGTTAGTTTTACGTAGCGTGACTGCTTGTGCGACTGACGGATGCGTGGAAGGCGTGGGATGTAGCAGGGGACGCAGAGTAGGAGCCATGGTTCTTTGATGCAACACCCCCTGATTGCGGAGTCCATGCGGCAAGCGTCTTCTATCCTACCCCCGGCACAAGCTGCACCACCGCCGTCGGGAGAGCTGCAGACAGACGCTCGGCCAGTGGCAGTCGTACAGGCGATATGATACTTATAATATACGATTATATACTATAGTATACTATACTAATCTATACTATTATACTACACTAACTATACTAAAATATACCATACTATACAAAAAGTACAGTAGGAGGGATGAGGGTCCAGGCTTCTGTCAGGATGAGTCCAGTCGGCTCTGTGGTCCGATCCTTTGCATCTTCACCCATGGGCGCCATAGTAGTTCCTTTTTGGGGTTCATATTCAGAATCCTATAAGGTAATCCCAAAAAGGAACTACTTTGGGGCCTATGCGCATTGCTGTTTCTGCTGCAGCCATCACCATGCTCTGGTCGTTGGAGCTTTCGCGGTTGCGATTACGGCGTTTGGCTTCGGGTTGGGTGCTTCAGGCCTAAATTGCCAGCACCAGGCCAAGCATTCAGAGCCATACATGGCGGCTTGCGGCAGGTCACTCTTCACTCACAGTTTCCCTCGTAGTTAATACCTGTGCGTGTACATGTCTTTCCATGTAATTATCTGTATCTATATCTGAATTCATCTTTGTCTGCACCAATATCTAGATTCTAGATGTGCCTGTGTCCTCAGGAAAACACGAATCGATGCTGAACGATAAGCCAAGCAAGGCTGCATCTTTCTGCAATCGCCTCTTCCTTCCTCTGCAATCGCCGAGGAAGCTGGGACCGAGTTGTCTGCCCCAGTCTTCGCTATCAGGCGTGGTTCGAGCTCTGGCTTCGTGTGCTAGTTTCTGCCTGATGCATCACTTCCTTGGCTGGCCGCAGCGCACACTGTCCTGTTATTCGTGGTTGATGCTCTTTTTTTTCAAGGCCCGTCGAACAGCACGGCAGCTTTTTAGCTAGGTAGAGGGAGTGAACGTTCATTGGCCATGGGCTGCGGAGCAAGCACCGGTTCCCCGAGAGGCCGCACTCCGGGAATTGGAGCCCCCAGCAGTTTGAGCCGCAGACAACCCTCATCCCTGAGCCCATCCCTGTAGGTGTGCTGGAGTCCTATCTAAAATCATCAGGGTGCTTGCAATTTCGGGTGAGGCGCAGGTCCATCACTTGCACTGCTTTTTTCCGATTATCAGAACCATCATCAGCAGCAGTGATGACAATCATCGTCGCCATCTTTCTTCAACAGAGCGACAAGAAGGGCACAACCAATTCCAGCGCGGCTTTGAAGTGAGGTTCAAGAGCCGATTCGAGCCCTAGAGGTCCCAGGTCCTACTGGTAGATTGATGGCATCCTTTGGGTAGTCACTCAGTCGAAGCAGACTGAATCGAATCCTTTTCTGCTGCTCCAGGCCCAGAGTCGCCTCGCTCTGAACTAAGCCGAAGGCCCCAAAGTAGTTCCTTGTTGGGATTCCCCATGGGTAAGCCGAAGCCCCCTCATTGAACGCTTCTTGCAGACGCATGGCCGGCCGTTGCCGAGCCGGCGTGCCAAGGACACAGACTTCGGTGCCTTGGGCCGGTGATCCTATCAGCGAAGTTGAGAAACCTCATGACTATATAGGGTTTAGGGTTTAGGGTTTAGGGTTTAGTGACTATGACTGATGACTGGGTATGAGTGTTTGTCACAGCCCAGGCACAAGATAGGCAGGATACTCAGAAGATCAGAATGCCATGGACCACACGACTACTGACACGCTTCGTACGAGCAATAGCCACAGAGCAGCACAAAACAAACGATAGTCGTAGGACCAAGGCTTCCAGCATTTTCCAGCTACGCAAGCGGGATACGGGCAGAATTCACGATTTCCCCGACAGCTTTGGCATCGAGTTTTCTCGACAGCGATCGGCGATTGGATCATCTGAGGATCCGAAAGCCAGTGAAAAGAACCGCGAAAGTGCACGACCTGGACGTGACCGCGATCCTTCCTGATAAGAGCCTGGGAGCAGAAGAAGTTGTACATGTGTGTTATTTGCCGGCCTAGTGTGTATGTTGTATCTCGCTGTCCCATCGACAGTCTCTTCACGATTGTCTGCCCGCTTGTCTGTGTGGCGAGCTGTCTTTCTGCTTATCCTCGTCGACACCTGTCTCTTCATATGTGTGTGTGTCTGTGTGTCCAGGTGTGAAGCAGGCTCAGAGGTTGTCCTGCTAGCAGCTGCGCATTGAGCAGCATAGCCTCCGTGCTTCCTGGCTGCTCAGGACCCTGGCGACAATCCAGGTGCATCTCAGTGGCACTCACGGAGGAGTTCTAGGGAGTTGATAGGTGCAGGATGCCAAGGCGCCTGGCTGCTACCTTTCTGAATCTGAACAAGCATAGCAAAGTTGAGCAGCAGCCGCCATGTTCCTTCATGCCATGTCATAACCTTAAGCTATGATTGCGTGTAAAAAGTAGCGGAACATGGCGACCGATCCTAAGGCAGAAGACCGCAAAGGCTGACTTGGCGGCCGTCGAACCCGACGAATGCCAAGAAACAGCCGAGGCCTTCAGGTTTTGCGTGGTGATGTCAGAGGCGGTGATAACGGTAATATAGGGGCCTTAAGAATTACCTATACTATTTTGGCGGTTCCTTATTATAACCATAGTATAATGGGCCCCTAAACCCTATTCTGATTATCAAGGCTCCTACATGACTATGTCGATGATCATGTTTGACAGTTGCGCAAAGCCAAGAAGCGACACGCTGCAAACAGGATGGGCAGAGAGCACCACGAAACGGTACGTTGCAAACACGATACAGCGGAAGCGACACGCTGCAAACGGGACAGGGGCAGAGAGCACCAATGAGCAGGATAAGGGGAAAGCCGGCAAGAAACGACACGCAGCAAACCCGATAGGGGCACAGAACGCCAAGAGACGGCCCTCTGCAGGCAGGATAGGGGCAGAAGAACCGGGAAATGACGAATTGCAAACAGGATAGGGGCGGAGAGCGCCAAGAAACGGCACGCTGCAAACAGGTTAGGGGCAAACAGAACCAAGAAACGACACGCTGGGCAGCAAACAGGATTGGGGCGAAAACGCCCAGAAACGGCACACTGCCAACAGGATGGGGGCAGAAATCACCAAGAAACGAAAAACTGCAAGAGAACAGGGACGCAAAGCACCAAGAAACGACACGTTGCGATCAGGATAGGGGCAGAGAGCACCAAGAAACGACATGGTGCAAAGAGGAAGGGGGCAGAATGTACCAAGAAACGACACTTTGCAAGCAGGATCTGGGCAAACAGCACCAAGAAGCGACATGTATAACTCCAACTCCTCCTCATGCTACCAGTGCGCGACGGCAGTGACGAGTTTGACTTGTATCGCAATGGTAGCTAGTTGCTCTTGTTGCAGCAGCAGCATGAAATTCAATGGGAGATGAAAAACAGGAAAAGCAGGGGGCAGATAGCAGGCAAGATCGACATAGTCTTCGTCAAGGAGTGCGAACGAAAGCTCATGATTTGGATTTATGATCTTCCACTTCGCAGCTGTTGCCGGGCAGATTACAGGCCCGCTATGACGTTGAGGAGTTTGAAATAGAGGCCCAGCACTGGTCCTCCATGCGATCGGCCGACGTCAAGGCCTCCGAATTGTCGGCTTGAGCCGGTGGACTTTGGAATCACTGCAGGGCCCAGGCCTAGACACTGGTATACATATGAACCATATGAACATCAGTTGCGTTGTGATGTCAGCTGTCACAGTCCTCGGATATCTGAGGTGTGTCTCGCTTTAGCTTTGCCTTTTGCGCAAAGAGCTGCAGGCGACTCGCAACAACCGGTTTCCTTCGCCGCCAGATCGGCGCCTGCACGAACAGCACCTCAAACGGATGGATGCTAGGCAGAATCGGTGGTCTAAGCAGGCTGCTTCCGAGGTTTGTGGGTTTGCGTTGATTCCGGTCCTGAAAGTGCTGAGTCGCCAACCTAAGTGTAGACCCTCGCGCATGTTCTAAAAGCACAACTCGCTACACGCAAGTGCCTGGCTCGCCCGCTACTGTGGCTCCGTAGGCAGAGGTTCAGAGAGAGAGAGAGAGAGAGAGAGACAGAGAGAGCAAGGTTCAGGGTTGAGCGGAAAGTCGAAGGCAGTGCGGGATCAGGCTTCTGTTCGGGATGCAGGCAGGGTTAGAACCCGTTAGTGCATGTTAGGTGTGTTTTTGACGTTGTGTTGCTTGCTCAGAACACAGGCGCCACTCCAGTAGCCCGACAAAGGGGAGGTACCCAACAGCTTGTGTGGTCGTTGTAGCGTCTGTATGCCTGTGTTCCAACCAGACGGGTACCTGCCCCCACGGAGGCGTACAAACCGACAACAACGGGCGACCCTTCCAACCAAAGTACAGACAAACCCCGCTGTCAAAAGGATGGATGGGGACGCGCTTTGGCGCGAGTTGGGGGGGTACCCCTGACTTTTACCCCCAGCAAAGCAAAGCAAAGAGAGGGTGGCTTCGCAGCAACCTCACACTCGGTTCGTACTGACCATGGGGACCCCAAAGCCTTTTCCCTTCAAACTAAACAGGGAGGGGGTCGCCTAGGCGCGGGTTAGCGACGCCAGCCCGAACCCAACGGAAGGAAGGAAGGGGAGAGATAGAGAGAGAGAGAGAGAGAGCGAGAGCGCCCTGCACAAGCGCCGAGGCTTGTTATTCGGGGTGCAGACAGGACACAGGCAGGTAGGCGGGTAGTTTCAGTGAGCACCAACCCCGCAGCGGGGACATATTGGGAACCCAGATTGGCGCCTCTGGGTCTTAAGACGGTGTCCTTGTTTCTGTTGCAAGACCAAGCTGTACCCAACCTTCCGCAGCCCAGCCGATCCGGCCCAAGCGTTGCCCCATACCCTTAAAATCGAGCAAAGCAAAGACAGGGAGAGAGAGAGAGAGAGAGCGCTCATCATCAGCCATTGCAGCCATCAGCATTTCATGTCGTCATTGGCCTCCTCCACTGCACACATCGTCATCAACATTCGCAACAGCGCCAGCTCCGACGTTTTCTCGAGATCATGACTGCGTTCTTCCGAGGACCGTCTGCAGCATGACCTCACGATGGATCCGGACTTGTTTGAGACCCTTGTTGAGACCAGGTGCATGCAACCGCGGAGCGTGGGAGGTGAAGTCGAAACCTGCTTTCAGAACTAGGAGGGGTGACCATGGTATTGGCTGACAGTCCTTGGTTTCGGATCACTGCGACACATTCGCACACGGAAGGTTTCAGTGCTCGTTTACGATTTGTTGGACACCCCTCGACTCTGACAGATGGGGCAGAGGAGCCAGTTGTTTGCCGAAGCCCGGTCCAGGCGCGGCATCGATGGACTTACCATGGGCAGCAGCATCCCGTCCAAAGGCTGGCGATGGGACGTTTAGGATACGCATTCTGCATTGCGGCGATCCACCTATCGCCACGTGAGCACAGGTTCATCACATGACAAACATTTGGTAGTGTAGATGCAATCAAGGCGTCCAGTCTACGGCCAAAGCAACTTGACAGGCACTTCTTGCTTCAACTGCGACCAATCGTGAAAGCTGGCAGGCATGGACACACACGCCCAGGACGACGAGTTCCTGAAGTACATCAGCCCATGAATTCCCGGTGTTATGGGGGTCATGGCAACTGGCTTGCCAGTCCATGCTTTTTGTCTTTATGCCAGTATATCCCGATACATCAAATGCCGATGGCAACTGCAAGCAGTGTTGCTCTGATGATGGTCGGTTGAAAGCATAGTTAGCATAGTTCATCCCCAACCTTCAGCCTGCATCGGGGAGGATCGGTGCTCCCTGAATGAGTGTTCATCGGTTGCCATTATCGGCACATTTTTCGGACATACCAGATCAGCCGGATCAGCTTGGCAGCTTCCCCTGGGCAGCCAAGCACTTCATTCGCTTCTCTGAGTTATTTGTCCCGCTCTCGGATTTGCCGAGATTGCTTGTGGCATTCGCGTCTCTCGTCTGAGGATATCAAAGTGGCAGCGGGAATCCCGAAATCCTAGTGGTAGAAGAGCTGCTGGAAAGAAGTCAGTTTCTGCTCACCCCCACTACGACGGCTACTAGTGCTACACCAATTATGACAAACGTATACAAGCTATTACATGACTACAACTAATTACTACTCCTCCTCCTCCGCCTACTACTATGCCTGCTACGATTGGTGCTGGTAGTGGTAGTGCTTCGGCTCTTGCTACTACTGCTGCTGCTACTGGTAATGCCGCTGCTCCAGCTCCTGAACCTGTGATCGGCAGAAGCTGACGTCGTGGTATCAGCAGAAGAAAACCGGAATCGTAGTCACGAACAGCGGCAGACTGCAAGTAGTCCCAGCAACTGGAGGTTACATGAGCCCTCCGCTGCAAGGCGAGGAGCTTCCCCTTTGCCCCCCTTTCCCACTTTGAACGCACAGGCTTCAGTCGAGTCTATCACGCGACCGTTTTGCCCTGCATGGGGTGGAGGGAACCTCGGGCTCCATGCAGAAAGCCGGGGCGGAGGGCCCTGGTTTTTGGACAGAAGTCCGAGCGCTAAGCGTGTAGCCCTGTAATGATAGGGGCCTTAATAATTAGAATAGGGTTTGGGGGTCCAGTATACTAGAATTATAGTAAGGAACCACCAAACATAGTATAGGTAATTACTATAATTATTAAGGCCCCTTTCTGAGTTGAGGTCCAGGCGGAGTCCGGGCAGACCTCCTCTGACGGGTAATTAAAGAGCGCCCCACTTCTTCCAAGCCCAAGCAGCGGCTGTCTTTGGAGAGGAAAGGGGTCAGTTGAATGGTTCTTCTCCGATCTTTTTCTGGTTGCGAAAAGCGCTGGCTGTCCGGTGCTAGGGGCAACTCGAGGCTTCGTCGCTTGAAGGAGCCCAAATCACTGCAACTGCGCATTATGCTCTCTCCAGTTCCGTAGATCCAAGCATGCAGGAAACAAAATAATCGAGCCGGCTAATGCAAAGGGAATCGTCGTCGTATTTCCACACGGCCGCATATGACCGCTGAGGGCTGTCCTCGGTCTCCGCCAAAAAAAAAGCAGTGAAGCAGTTGCGGTGACGTCCGGAAGCTCGGCCCAGCGACCACAGCAGTGGCACGCTCGGTCATGCAAAGCGGTTGGGGTGAACAGGAGTTCGTCCCTTCGATCACGGAGCTGGAAACTGTAGGATGCATAGTAATCGTTGTGAGCTGATCAAGAGAAAAAGCAATTATGGCCGTGATCGAGACGGGCCCTTGTTGAGCCCTTTTGAAATTGAGAAAGACTGTGTGAGTCTTTCGCGGAGGTGTGCGTCAAATCCACTGTAGCGGATTTCAGAGCTGCTCAGAGGGAGTTTGATGTTTGCCATTGTTTTCCCGAAGACGGCGCCTGCACCCCTGGTGCTGGGTGCCATAAGAAAAGCGACCATGAATAGTTTCCAAGGTCATGACACCAAGAGTAGTCCCTTCATCCAAGAATCTGAGGTCGCCTTCAGCCAAAGCATTCCGTTGTCTTTGCTGGGTCACAGACGGCACCAATCTCTGTGTCGAAATCATCTTTTCAGCTTCAGCAACGGATCGATTGCGGGCAGAAACCATGAATGAGATGCATGCGGAGAAAATATTTACTTGCGCCAGGCATGGCAGGCTTAATGTCTCGATAGGGCATTTGCTGGGGAGTCTTCATTCACGAGCTTGCATGAATTCATGAGCCTTTCCAGCCTGTGTGCTCAGCAAACAGGGTTTTCAGTCGACCATTAGATTAGATCTAACAGCCACTAAAATGCCGTCCACCATTTTGCCCTGGATCCAAACCTCTTTGATTCAAACCCCAGGGATAGCAGCTAGACAAGCTTGGGAATTGTCACAGTGCTGACAGGTGACGATGTTGCATACTTTCTCTGTTGCAATTGCTAGTGCTATTTGCCAGTACTTACTATTGCCATTACAGTCTAGTACTAGTAGTATGACTGTGACTGACTGTGACTATTTCGATTACGATTACCGCTACCGTGACCAGCTAAGGCCGTCGTCATTGCTGGCATTCGTATTACTACTTTATAGTTTGCTTAAAACAGGCTTCCCTGATTTCCAAACCCCTAAACCCTAAAGGCCCTAAAGCGCTAAAGCCCTAAACCCTTGAGGAGACAACAAGAATGCAAGGACACCCCAAGTCCCAAGCTCACCCATGCTGTTCCAGGCAGCTTCGACATCACATCAACGCGGAGCTCCAAAGGACCGCAGTCTTCTCAGAAATCGGAGCAGTCAAGAGCGGTAGGTACGGGGGGAGGGCATACAGGACCTATATCAATCTATATCTATTTCCATTATCAGCATGCTTTGATGGTGGCCTCGGGGGTGATCTCGAAGCAAAGAGCTACATGCGCTGCAGGATTCCTTAGGAGCGTCAGCTTGTTTGTGGTATTTGTCAGTTACGGTTAGTACGAGAGTAGTTTCTTATGCTGATGACTGCAGACAGTCTCATTCGTATTGTTAGTGCCGCCATCATCCCCTTCCCCTGCACTCTTTGCTCCTCAGTACCACTGAGTAGGCCGTTGGTATTGAAGTTGCTGGCGTCCTTTCCACGCGACTTTCTTATCCGGGCTGTGGACGAGCTCGCAGCCTTCCATGCGGTCTAGGCTTCAATTCCAAGGCGCAAAACATCTCTCAGAGCCCGGAAGCTGCGACATGTCTCGACATCCAAGAGCCGAAGAAGTGCAGACACATACACATACGTATCTAGATAATATGCAGACATCATACATACATACGTGCATGCATACGTACATACATACATGCATGCATACATGCATATGTACTACATAACATAGATAGATAGAGACAGACAGGCAGGCAGATGGATACCTAGACATTGGGAATGCATTCCGCCCGGCTGAAGTCTAAGCATTCATGACTAAAGCCTTTGCGAACCCGAAGCCCCGAACCTAAACCCGAAATGCCAGGCGAATCCCAAATGACCGGAGCTCAAAAATCTTCAGGACACAAAACTGGATCGACTTCGAGGTTCAGAGGCTCTCTAGCCGGCTTAGAGTCGATTCAACGTTTGATTGACAGTTTCGGGTTTTAGGGTCGTGGCCTTTCGGATTGAGGGTTAAGCCTTCGAGATGTGGGACACCGAGCACAGGAATTGTCACACGCACACACTGGCAGCGCATCATGCATGCTCGCCTATCGTCCTACGTACTGTTTCTGCATTGAGTCTGCGTGAGCACATAAATATGCATGTGCATACACGCACACCTGCACGGCACGCGCCCAGTTCTGGTCCACATGAGCATGCATACATATATGTAGACATGCAAAAATACATGCATGCCCACATGCACTGCATGAGTATGTCTGCATGCATACATGCAGGCATGCGTGAATGTATGTGTGCATGTGCGATCATGTACGTATGTGCGCCAGTGTTCGTCATGTATGTCTATACACTGGGGGTGAAGCCAACGAGCAGTCAAATAAACAGGGTGTGCAGCTGGTTTTCATCTCACTGCAACCGCCTCTCCACATGCATTATGCGATGCTCTCTCTCGCTCTCAATATCTCTCTCCCTCTCGCTCTGTCTCACGCATGAATCACATCATGCACGTGCAGGTGTGTGGGTTTTGTTCTGCGACAAACATCTTCGGACACGTCGCTGGCTCCTGCTGGCAGCAGCAAATAGGTACATCGCGCCGCAAGTTTTACACAGAATAATTACAGAAGGATCTTGCGTGTGAGCAGCGCCCCAGAAGGGTAGCACTGACTTCAAGAAACCCATGTCCTCCAAGATACTTGAAGCATTCAGAAGGGTTCGATAGGAGCCTGCAGGGTTACCAGCTGGATGTGTGCAGGGCTGTGGATGGCTTCTGCAGTCTGCAGGTTCATCTCTCACCAGTGGCCACCGGCCCCTGACGATGCCAAAGAAGTTGCCAAGGACTGCCCAAAGTTGCTCTGGGTGGACAGTGGATTGGGGTGTGATTCCGCCTTTGCATATGCTGCCTGTATCAGATCATGCTTTGAAGCTGGTCCCTAAACCCTAAACCCGAAATCCTAAACCCTAAACCTGAACCTAAACCCACAATTGTACTTGTCATGAATCACCGTGTGGCAGCCGGCTCCAGACTCTTTTAAAGGAGTTCTACGAGGTCCCTCCCCTTTCAGGGCTTCCCAAATTGCGGTCCCAACTTGGACCCCGTAATCACCTCCGATGTGGTCCTCGGGGGTAAGTGCATCAAAAAAGGTTACATAACCCTAAGCCGCTGCAAAGCCTGGCTTTGCTTTTGGGAGCCGGTTGCCTGATTTTCTCCCGAGTCGGCCAAGTCGAATCGCTGTAGCTTTGAAGGCTGGTTTCTTGATTTCAGGAACAGTCTGGAATGTGGCTTCTCCTGCAAACTCTTGCAGGGACGAATGCATCGAAAGCGACTGACATGTCAACGTCGCACCTGGTTTGTTTGGTACTCTGTTGCCGTGTCAAGTGCAGGTTGTTTTCTGGAAGCAGGGAAGCTACGGCAAGTGCAGCAGAATGGAGTGAATACAAATAATACAACACAGTCAAAGTGTAATGCGAGAAATGATTGAGCAGCACGTGCTTCTCGCAGTCCCTCAGCATGCCTTACCCAAAGCGTGAGCACCGTTTGATGTTGATGCACGCAAGGCTAATCCGTCCGCGCATTTCAGAAGCTTTTGGCAATGCAGTCCAGGTTTCTGCTATGACGGCCCCCAATGGCTATTCGGATGCTAGCACCTCATGATTCGCTTCCAGTCGCGAGCTTCACGCAGGATGGTGCTCACAAGGACAAGGACACGAGCTTCAAAGACGGTTCCGGACACGTGGCCGAAAGTGCCGGCATAGCACGCCCGGGCTTTGGGGAGGGTGCTAAACTGCCTCCCTCGGGCCAGACCCATATATGAATGTCTCATTTGTGGAGAAGAAGTCGGGTCACGTGAACAAGTCGATACGAGACTAATTACACCAAAGTACCCTGAAGTCAATTTCGAGCTTAGGAAAAGATTCGCCACGGACGTCGAAAAGCCATTCGCCACGGTCCAAAAGCACTTCGCCACGGATGTCCCCGAGACGGAGGGAGGAGAAGCAGGCTGGCTACAGCATATTCGTAGCGTAAAGCCGGAACAGAAGCCCTGTGCAAAAACACGGGAGAGCAAATCTTGCAGTCTATCGGCGCCCATGACTGAGAAGATCGATACCCAATGTCTAAACCTTAAGCCAGAACAAGCGGGTCAGCGACATCTCGATGTTTTGCGTTGCCGGCAGGATGTCTTTCTTTGCATCCTTATGCGGTGTTTGTGCCTGTGAGCTCTTCTGCCAAAGATATCCAAAACCCCACTTGAGTTGCTGAAAGAAGTCATCCGGGATCGGCCGCGGCACGGAACTCTCAATACCTCGGGAGGTTGTAAGGGTGCCACGATCCTCCTGTATCCGGGAAAGTCTAAAACCAAAACCCCCAGACAATGTCACAAACCCACAAGCCTTATTTCTTGTTCGGTGGAGACCGTCAGGTGACGACGAACAAGCCGAATGTGCCGCCAGTAAATTTGAAGGATGCCCAGAACTGGCACAATGCCCAAAACCAGCTGCATGGCCGATATTTGCTTACGAGTATTCTGGCTAACCGTCTTGGTTTGCACTGTAGATGATACCAGTAGGGGTTGCGTTTTTTGGCTTATGTGTTGGTGTTTGCGTCTTCCGGTGGTTGGGCCAACTTGGAGAAGCGTTCGAGGGTTCGGACAGCAGCTCGGATTTCCCAGTCATGTGTACCAGCTTCCCGACCATTCCGACGAAGAAGTAGCGGGCTTGTTTGGCATAGCTCCAGGCTCCAGGACATCTCCTCTATGGGGCATGGATGGCATGGTAGCGCTCGTGTTTGCCACTGGTGCGTGGTGGCATGCTTGAAGCAGCGGGCGATTGCTGATGCTGTTGCTGCTGCTTTCTAGCCTTTTGCTGCTTTTGCTGCTGCTGCTGCTGCTGCCGCTGCTGCTGCTACTGCTGCTGCTGCTGCTGCTGTTGCTGCTGTTGCTGCTGTTGGCGTTTGTGCTGGTAGTGGTGGTTTCCTTTGTTGCTGCTTTCCTGCGCACGCTTGTGTGCACGGGTGGCATGCGTGGGTGCGGGTGGGCGGGTGGGCGGGTAGGTCAGTGGGCGGATTGGTGTGGGTGGGTTTGGGTGGGTCGGTGTAGGCTTGTGGTTATGTAATCACCATTCTCATCATCAGCAGTCTACTATTTCTGTTACTTGTGTCGAGTATTTCCTACCGGGTCCGACTGCCTAGCTGGGTTGTACAGCTCGCCAAGTTCCAGCTAAACCTCCTGTTTCCTAGGTGGGGTATACACGACGGCGAGGACGTGACTCCAACGGGCTGCTTTGACTTGTATAGCTGCCGACCTTGAGACTCTCTTCTCGAGGAGTGTCCGAGAAGCGTAGATCAGAAATCAGCTCATGCTACACAACTGCTCAGCGTCATTGGTAATGTCGGGAGCAGCTTGTGGCCATGGAAGGCCGAGGTGCTTGCATCCTACGTGCAAAGCTGCGATGCCCAGGCCAAGTCCGGCTGTCTCCACGACAAGTGACGCCGAGTCGGCGCTAACGGTGCCTTGCCTGCTTGGTCGCTCATTCTGAGTCAGCCTCTCTCTGCAGCGATCTGCCTTCTTTCCTTTTGTTATGAGTCATCCGGCCGGTTCCGTTAGTGGATGGGGAAAGACACAATGGCCAAGGGTCCAGGCACAACAGTTGATGCTTCCTCTGGATGAGTAGTCTTGGAGGGGTTTCACTCCTGCGGCCCACCTGTTCAGCTGAGCTTTGTAGAAATCTGCATTTCGCATCCGTGAGGGCCTTACGGTTTGGAGACTCGGAGTTGAGCCTTTAGCCGGCTGAGCCATAGCACTGATTTGGTGATCATCTTCATTGTCGCCGCATCACCCTTGTCATCAGACTTGGAAGTTGCCCCCCTCACCATCATCATCATAGTGTTGATAATGCGCATTTGTTTCCTCGTCGTCGTGTTTCCATCTGCATTCTGACGGTCATCAGCGTCGCTGACAGGTTCATGATCATCATCACCGCAACCACCTGTATTGCCATCAACAACACCGCCGTCACCAACACCATCATCTCTTGCTTCCAGTCATCATCGACATGGTAAGTGCTGGCTTGCCTTCGTTTCTAGAAGTTGGTTGAGTCTCCGATTCGTTGCAAGCGACGGGGCAACACGTCTTTCAAACGTACGAAGGCATGTTTCAGGCGTAGTCAAGTGCTCGCCATTTCGGGGCTACGGCTGTGTCGTTTTCTCGAACGAGCTTCCATTCAGCTGTGATGCCTTGCAGTCCATACTCAGGTCGGATGCCGTGTGCGCACAAGGGGGAAAATCCTCACGAACCTACGATGGGATGTGCGCCCACCGTCCTTGCGATCGTATAAGTACCGTGTAGAATCGAGCATTACTTCGACCATAGGCTTTCGTAACATGTGCACTGGGAGGTCTACGACGGACGGACCAAAAGCATTCATTTGCCAAGTTCAACGCCGCATGCCAGAAATTGCATAGACAGTTCGCTTGGCATGAGTTTTTCCGGCAACACCTTTACGTATGGCGTTCGTTGATTCAGTCTACTGTACGCAAAGCGGACACCTGGATGCCCATCCTGCCAGACAGATTTGTCAAAATTCCTCAGTTTCCCTATAGCTCGGCCGGCAGAAGCCTCCAAACTCTGACTCAGAGTGGGGCTGTGAGTGACATGAGACAAGGGTCTATGATGAGCGCGGGGTTGCGTCACCCTGCACTCTATACGACCCGCGATATATAGACCTGCTTCATACAGAAGACTAAGACGCTAGCAATGAGCGGTTTAATCTCAGGTGTCTTGTCAGCATAGCAAGTGCAAGCACCACCGGCCGAGTGCGACGTAGTTTCCAGGAAGGTCTGAGAAGCGGCCTGCAGCTGCATGACCAAACACCAGCAAGGGCCCCTTGCAGAGGTGCTTTTCCGCGAGCTGCCTGCAGCTCGCTTCCTGTGACTCACGCGTGAGCGAGAGGCAGCAAAAGTGCTCCTGGAATTCTCGAACCCACGTCCAAAGCGAAATCAAATCTGGCCTCCGCCGCGTGAGTGGCACTGTTCCTCCACCTTCACAACCGTGGCTCTGTCAGAGCTCCCGAAGTATTCAGCACCGATGGTGATGCGGGAATGTAGCGATCTACACTTCTTGGGCTCGGCTGTAAAATCCACCGTGCTGTCTGCTCGCGGGGTTTACACTGTAGTTGCCAGAGCGTAACTGCAGAGGCGGGGGCCTTATCCGAGCGACGAGAAGTCTTCTATTTTTTGCATAAGGCCACACACACGCGCAACCCCCCAAAGGCTTGAAGACTCATCTTGGCTGTGTTATTGCAAGATCTATACTTGTCTTTTTCAGCCTTGTTCTGCTTGAGTTTTAACCTCAAGACCTTTCGGATTCGTACGTTGGGGCTTCCCAGCGGGTCCGCATGCGAGGCAGGTTATCTCGGGTGGATTTTTGTAGGATCTTCTTGGTCTCAGCATGAAATGTTTCTGGCAGAACATGCTTCCAGCCTCATAGATTGCAGTCCTTGGGCTTGTTCGCTCGAAGTCCCTTTCCGCCTGAGTTCATTTATCAAATGCCGTCTGTCAGTATTACGCCTCATGAGCTTCAGTCCTTGTACACTGGGCTGTGGCACTCCCTGCTGACTTGGACGGCGATGCAGCCGGGAAGTCGGGCTGGAAGTCTTATACAACAACTGCAAGGCATGGGCCTATAGATTGCAGCCGTGACAGACACTTAAAGCAGGGTGGTTGCGTGAAAAACAGTAACCACTGCCTGAGCATGCCGTAGTTGCTATCTGAATCCATGTCAAACGCTGACCGCACAACATACTTGCCCAACGCCCCCACATGCCCCAGCACCTTGCGCATGTGCGATGATTTGCGGCTTTCAAGCGGCTTCGGATCCCCAAGCCACAAGCACGAAGTTCAGTTCGGCCAGTTCTCTGTAAATCTCTGAAGCTAATGGTTTGGGCTAGAGGACGTGTAGGAAATGCCCGCCAGCTTCCTGTGCAGCTGCACAACTTTCCATGCTGGGCAAGATCTCGAATTGGACGCGGTACGGTACTCATCAGCCTCACTCGTACGTGTTTCGGCATGCCTTGGCATTTCCGGCTGTCGTGTTGCTTGCACAGCCCTCGTCGGATTCGGAGATTTTGACTGCGAGTAAGAGCCGAGCAGCACCCTGATTTCCTCCGCTAAAGTGGAGGCAGGGGGTCGGCATGGCGGACACGGGTCATCATGGGCTGGAGTACAGAAACACATAGGCTCAGTACTACTCCTCCCTTATACAGATCTTCACGTTCGGACACTGGCCCATGTGACGCAGGACCAAGTTGATTCGTCTGGGCTTGCCTTGCTAGGTACGAGTCTAGGGTTTAGGGTTAGGCTTTCATGTCAAGGGTTTGGGAGTCAGGTTGTGGGCTGGAGAGTCTTAAAGAGAGGGCTGCGAGAGTTGTGATGCGAAGCCTAGCTCGAGTAGAGCAAGCAGACGAAGATATACCCGGCTTTGCTGGTGGTACAAAATGCCGCAACTTCAATTGACGCCTGCGAGTTGGTGTCATTCTGCAACACCCAAGCACTGCATCTAGAAGGTTTGTGTTGTGTCGGTCTTGGTGTATGCCCTTAACGTTGAACTTCATCCCAAGACAGGGCGCTTCTTGCAAGGTGTTCGACTGTGCCAAACCCCCCAAACTTGGATCTCCTTGAGCCAGGCCTTCGCTCTCAATCAAGTCGTACCTCTCATCTTCGTGTAGAATCCTTGTCAGTCGGCTCTTTGTGAAAGTGTTTTGTAGTATCCTGGGAGAAATCAGCTTGTGCGCTGTGGGCCCAAATCTGTGAGATGGAGGGGGGGGGTAAGATCAAACTTGGCCTCGTATTGCGTCCAAGTGACTGTTGATCACTTCGGTCGCCTTGGGTTTGCATTGTCTTCAAATCTGTCAAAACCAAATTCCAGGTTGGATGCCTTGCCACCTTACGGCATTGTGAACCCCAAGAATTGGTGTTGAGACGCCATCCAACCCGTCAGCAAACAGAACGCCAAAACAAGCCCCTCACAACAACAAAGAAGACACATATACAATCTCCGAGAAAAAGCTGAAGAAGTTCTAAAGGCCTCAGAAACTTCCACAACGCCCCTACACCCGGAACTCTGCAACCTTAAACCCAACCCTCTGCAACCCAGCCCACACCCCCCCCCCCACCCCGAAGGCGAAGAAGAAATGAAGGGGAACCCGGGTCTCCCTCACTCTGAGGCTCGGGCACCGGTGGCTTGAGCTTCCTGAGTCCGAGCAGGTCCAGCGCAGGGGGGGGGGGGGGGGGG